TCAGTTGGTTCCGAGGTTACGCTCGTGTCCTAAGTGGTTGCACTCCGTCCAGACATGCCTTTAAGGTGTTGTTGTTTTGCAGACTTCATAAAGAAGCTGTGGAGTCCAAGAGCACAGACTACTTGGCCTCTTTTGTGAAGAAGGGAAAGAAGTCCAGCACACCGTACTCCTGTAGCAAGAAGCCGGCAAGCAAGGTCTTGAAAAGGCCCAGCTCTAAGCACTAGACCGGTAGATGTGCAGTGCGAGTATGAAAAGTATCGTATGCGTGGTTGCTTGTATGTGTGAGACAACTAGTAATTAGTAAACCCGGCAAGCATCGCTTGCTTAGACTTTTTTGCTTGCCTCAAGCCAGCCCACAGCCAAGGTACACTGGAACGCAATGGCAGCAACTTAGAAATACATATTATATATATATACATACAGAAGCCCTAAGCCTTAAACCCTACACCTTGGACCCTAAACCCTCTAGGATGTGACTCGGCTGCAATTACAATGTTCAAGAACGACCCCCTCAAGATCTGCACTGTAGCCATGCGGCCCGGCGGACCCACCGGAGAGCGGCCTGCGTTAACTCGAAGCCGACGTCGGTCGTTGTATCTCACAGAACCCGGAACCAGAGCATCCTGAGCATGCACATCATCCAGACCTTCAGCTTCAGCGTGTTCCCAGACCGCCGATGTGTCCACCTTCTGAGCATACACGTAGCACTCTTTGGCGCGTGTTCCTAGAGAGCCTCCTCAGCATCCCAGTGGCGATCTTCGGCGTGTTCCCACAGAACCAGAGCATCCACCTCCGCAATCTTCGGCGTGTTCCTGCGGAGCCAGAGTATCCTCCTCTTCGCGTGCTAGGTCTACTTTCATGTGGGGGCGAATCGACCATCCCTTTGACAGGGACAGCGACCGTGGAAGTGAACCTCACCAAGTTTCGCGATCCACACCACGACTGGAGCTTGACGAAGCATGTAGGATACCATGACATACAGTTAGGGCTGTTGCGACTCCCGCTCTGTCGGCAAATTCTTGCCAAGCCAACTACTATGGCATGGTCTGCTAAAAGTATCCGTATCATATGCAGATGCCGTAGAGGACGGCACAGATTTGTAACAGCAGTTTCACTTCTCCGAAAGTTGTTTCACCTCTTGAATCCTGCTATTAGCAGTTTCGAAAGTAATCTAGAACGTTAGAGCTGGTCGCACAGCACGTGCTCTGGTCAGTGTGTGACTTGTGCTGCTGATAAGTTCCCTGTAGAGATGCGACAGTACCTTTTTAAAGTCAAAGACATGTTGCCCTATTCGGAGAACGTAGATGAAATCTGTCAGTGGTGACGACCCCCACTCGGTGAAGAAAACTGGAGCGTCTCTTAACTTCCTGCTTTCGGGAACGATGTGGCCAGGCATGCATCTATGGAGGGTTAGGGCTTAGGCAGCTTCAGACACTACTTTGGCGTTGTAGTTTGCTTTGAGACGTTCAGTTACTCTTGCGGTTTGTACATCTAGAGGGTAGAGAGACACATCGCCTTCAATACTTACAAGCTGTATCTTGGGTTTTAGGGGGTATTCGAGATGTTTAGTTTTGTTGTGGCTTGTTCATGTTGAGGTCAAAAAGCACCTTGTCGCCAATACTTACAAGTTGTATCCTTGGTTTTATGTGTTCTTCAACATAATTGTGTAGCATTGTTGTAGAAACACCACAAGCTATTACATTCAAAAACCCAGGCCCCATGACTGCCCAATCTTTAACCTGAAGCCTTAAACCTTAAACCCGAAAACGTAAACCCTAAACCTTCAACCCTAGGTCTTACGCCTTCGTTCATAAAACTTAAGCTTATGAGTCCTAAACCAAGTGCCGGTGTTGTCGGTCATCCGAGCCAGGCGCATGAGCGGCGAGTGCCCAACAAGACGGAGTCCGTAGCCGAGGAGCATCGTCTGGCCAGGGCTCCGTAACCAAGCCCCAAAGCCTGCGTTTAGGGTGTAGGGTCTAGGTTTCAGGGTTTAGGGGTTTAGGTTTTAGGGTTTAGGGCTTTGGGTTTCTGTGCCTAAACCTCACCCTGAAAGGCCTAAGGCCCTAAGCCCTGAACTACAAACCATAACGGCCTTAATGCCCCAAAGTCTGCATGGCAAATCCGAAAACCTTGAATCGGTCGGATTCCCCTGGTCCATAGGTCCATATTGCACGAAAGCCCTATTCTAATTATTCAAGCCCTTAAACCCTAAACCCTATACCGAGAACCGCCAGCCACAGGACATCGGTCAGACGCAAGTTCCGCAACCTGCCCTGTGCGGGCAAGGCAGGCTTTCAGGGTTTCTGGGGTTCAGGGCTTTAAGGTTCAGGGTTTAGGGTTTAGTTACAGTAGAAACCCAAAACTTGGAAACCCAATAGCCTCAATCCGTAAGAGTAATGCATAAGCAATTTCAGCACGAATTGTCCTTATCCGGTTTCCAACCTTTCGGGGCTTACCATAAAGCTCTGGGGCATTGAGTTCAGGGCTGAGGGTTCCACAGGTTCTCCAGTTCACAAGGTCTGGGGTTTCGGAAAGGTCTCAAATTGTTCGATTGTCCCTCTATTGTAGGGGGCTCTATGGGATTTGTGTTTCGGCAATATCGTCAGCTCAAGTGCTGCAGTGCAGGGTCTGGTTACGGTATCGAAGCACTGGGTTTCGGGCATCATTGGTACGGTCTAGGGTATCGCAGGGTTTAGTACGGTTAACCCTAAACCCTAAACCCAAAAGGGTGGGGATCTTGGAGCATGGCTTTGGGTTCGGAGTGTGGTGTCCGGCAATCATCCATTACCCCAAACCCCAAGCCAAAGGCTCTCTGAAACGATCGCTGGGTAGTCGAGGCTTGGGATTGAGTGTTATAAACCTTAACTCCTTAACCCTAAACCGTGTTTTTTGCAGCCACGAAGATCCCAGTTGGGGACTGCGATCGTTTATCGCATCGCGGGTTCAGATTTCAGCAGGATTTCGGAGGTTCTGCATCTCCTGCCCCGTTCTAATGCTCTTGTTTTGAGGGCCGTGCTGCAACTCGGACTAGCAACTGACATAAGGTTTGCACCATATTATACCAAAACAGACTAAATAAGAAAAGTAACTCTCTCTATATATGTATGGATAGAGACTCACCCAACAATTTTTCTAATCCCTGAGTTTGTTTAAACAATAAGTAGAAACATAAACATGAGTAGAAATACATGTCTATTCTGGACATGTGTGTATATACATATATACGGCATCATATGTATGCTGTGGCAGGTGGCAAGCAACAGAGGCGGATGCTAGTTCTTAAGCCGTGCTTGAACGGCATTCTCTGATCTACAGTTCCTAAGCCTTAAACACGAAGCCCCGAATTCCAGGACCCTAGACGCCACAAGACGAAACCCCTACAAAAGTGGAGCCCTACAGACCAAACATCCCAGACCTCGAAATCCGAGACCCTAGGCAACTAAGTCCTTTACCCGAAATCCTAAACCCGTAGACCCACCAGCAGAATAGTAACCCTTATTTTTACCCCCATGGTCATCCCTAATAACCCTTAAGCCCTTGAGCTCAACAAAAGACAGGCGGCATCTCCTCCACGGCAGCCACCTTGACGCCAAGCCAGGGTTGGTGGGCAGACGCCATCGTCTGAGCTGCCGTTTAGGGTTGAGGGAGGGTTCAATGCCAAATAGCGTTTCAGGGTTCAGGTTTTGAAGGCCGTTTCATCCCACCCACCTTTCCATCCCAAGTACCTCAGAGACTGGGGTTCAGGGTTGAAATCGCTTTGTCTTCTTTGGAGGCTCATGAGCTAGCAGATTGTCATTATTGTTGTGGATGCCTTACCCTAGGGCTCAAAGTAGCCAAAAGCAATACATGGTCTTTGGGCCCAAAAGCCTTCATCTATGAGTCTAAACCCTAAACCCCAAATCCTAAACCCCAAACCCTTAAACCCCAAAGCCCTAAACGCCTCAACCCCTAAACCCCTAAACCCTAAACCCTAAACCCCTAAACCCCAAACCCTAAACCCCTAAACGCCTAAACCCCAAACTCTTACACCCTAAAGCCCTAAACCCTGCAGCCCTAAACCCCAAACCCTAAACCCCAAAACCCCTAAACGCCTAAACCCCTAAACCCTAAACGCCTAAACCCCTAGACCCTAAACGCCTAAACCCCTAAACCCTAAACCCCTAAACCCCTAAACGCCTAAACCCCTAAACCCCTAAACCCTAAACCTGCTATGCCTGTCGATCCTTAAGTCGCTCTGGACTCACGGGGCTGGAGCAGACAGCCCAGAAGAGTTAAAATCGAGGGCTTAGGGTTTAGGGTATAGGGTTTAGGGTATAGGGTTTAGGGCTTAGGGTTTAGGGTATAGGGTTTAGGGGTTACGGGGTTAGGGAGTAGGGTTTAGGGTTTGGGGGTTTAGGGTTTATTTCTCAGTGATTCGACCTTTACAGTAATCATGCCGGTCGTGCTGTAGTGGTGGTTTTCGAGCTTGGGTCTTTCTTGTGCGGCGCAAAGGCCAAGGTCGTGGCAACAACTGTGAATGGGGAAGTTGCGGTGCTTCGAAGAGAAGCCCGGTTTGACACACAACAACTGCTCAGAGAATGGCAATTTAAGTAATGTAGGGGCCTTAATAGTTACCTATACTATTTTGGGGGTTCCTTATTAAAAAAATAACGTATAATATGCCCCCAAACCGTATTCTGATTATTATAAAGGCTCCTCTATTAAGGCCTCGATACACGACGCAAAACCGACTCTCGAGGTAACTTGTCGCCATACATTCTACAGCTTGAACCTCAAACAAAACCCCTTGTCCTAGTCCGTCGACCTCCGCAATCCGAATTCCTGTGCCTAAGCCCTAAACCATAAACCTCCCTAAACCCTATTTCAACCGTGATAGAGAGCAAAGGCGACAGAACCTCTATTTGCACCTAAATCTCACAAAAACCGCAGGCGGCTCGAGCTACTGAAGGCCCGGCCCACAAGTAGTCCTCCCCTTTCCTCCGAGAAACCAAAGAGACGCCATGTTCCTCCGTTCCCGCGACTTGGGTGGAAGTCTTGAGGGCTTCGGGTTTTAAAATGTTCGGAGTCTTCATCTGTTTGATTTTTCGGATTTTCAGGGACTTGGAGTTTAGGATCTTCTAAAGGGTTTGTAAGGGACTTAGAGTTTAGGGCTTTAGGGTTAGAGTTTGGGGCTTGACGGTTGGAGTTTTTGGCTTTGTGCTATGGGCTCTCGCCTCACAAGTTGACCGTTGCTGGGAGCAGGATTCCTCTCTCTTGCCACTGATGGCTTGAAGTAAATTCTCAGTACAGCTTAATAGGGTTTAGAGGTTAAAGTTTAGAGATGTTAAGAGTGTGTAGAATTTGGGGTACTATAATCCCTGTAAAACCCCGCAGGTTATCCTTTAGTTCCCCTGAGATACGGGGCAAGTAAGATTTGGTCTTGGGATCTTAAGTTAATCCCGAGGTCTGAGTCTTAAAGCCCAAAACTAGAACCCCAAATCTTGGACCTTACTAAGCCCTACACCAGGTTATGAATCGTGGATAAGCTGCCACCCACCACCCCCCTCCACCATCGGTTTCGTGTTTGGAGTTGTTGTGGCCAGAGAGTTCGAGTGGTTTTCGAGCCCTACGGGCCTGCAGGACCCGGCAGCAGTATATGCTGAGTATTAGGACTTGGACCTCTAAAAGTCCACGGCACCCGGAGGCAGTACGGTACATGCCTGCTGTTAGGAACTTAGACCCTCTCGCGGTGTGTTTGGGTTGTTGAGCGCTGAATATAGTAACCTAAATACTTACCAATACTATTCCGGGGGCTCCTTATTATAATTATATTATATAAAGGACCCCGAAACCTTATCCTAGTTATCAAGGCCCCTGCATTAGGCCGTTTAAGGCGTTGAAGATCTACAGGGTTGTGGCTTGGGGAGGCTTGAACTGGACACTAGGCTACAGGGCCTCACGGTTTAGGGTTTAGGGTTTGGGACACTGCAGATCCTTGGAACGTGGTGAGAGCCGCCTGCAAAACAATCCCGCTTTTTTGCAAACTTGTCAGGAAGAACTCCAGAAGCAACGTAATCTTGCTGCTCTGGTGCCGCCAGTTTTCGCACTTTCTAAATCCCAAGCTTTTATCTCCGTCGCAAGGCATCCTTCGTGTCCCTTGCCTGCAAGGAGAAAGCCACATGTGAACAAATAATAAACTAGCAATCTAGAACCTAGATAGAGAGAGTTACATAAAACATCACGGAGATAGAGAGAAAGAGAGAGAGAGAGAGAAAACAAATAGATACAGATAAACATAGAGAAAGAAAGAACAAAATAAACAAACAAAGACAGAGAGACACATCGATACATACACAGTTAGACAGACGGAGAGGCAGCCAGACAGACAGACAGGCAGACAGATAGGATAGACAGATAGATCGAGTGATCCTTCCCTCCGTCGCTCCATAGACAGATAGATGCAGCTGTTCTACGTGAGACAGCTGTTGGCTTCACTACCGTGCAACAGTACTGATGTTTTGATTCTCTCGGTCTCTGTTTGATGTTGCTGGATGGGCTGATGTGCTTGGCATCGAGATGACGCCAGATGCGGCCTGACTAGCAGCTTTGTGTTGCCCGATCTTTTTCCTTGGATGTCAGGGGTCAAGGTGTAGCAGCGAGGTGTGGATGCCGAGATATGGCTTAGTCTAAAACCCAGGCCGTGACCCTACAAGCCCCAGCCCAAAGCCTGTAGCCCCTCCTGAAATCCACGTCCGTTGAACCCGGTCAGCCCATGCTTTCTGTCTTCAAGGTTTCGGCAGTGTTTTGATATGCGGTGGGCAAGTGCTGCATTGTCTGCGTCAGTGCTGCCATGCTTGGGACATCTTGGGACTATATACCTCTTGCAAACAAAAACTTGCAGAGCTACCGCTGCTACTGCGACGACGACGATTGCTAATTGCTGCTGCGGCTACTGCTACTGCCAAACTACTGCTACGGCTATGGCTACTGCTCCTGCTGCTGCAGGACCGCCGCCGCTGCTGCTCCTGCTGCTGTTCATGCAACTTCTGTTTCTGTTACGACAACTCTCATTCTACTGCCACCACGACCACCACTACGAAAGGCTGGCCGCACAATCATGTCTAGCCATGCACCTCAACATCGTTGACCTCGGCCGTTCACCTGCAGTTAAGCCCTTAGAGCACTAATTGTCAAAACCCTGAACTTCAAACCATGAAACGCCGTAATCCCGTTGATTCAGGCGGGTGGTGGCGGCATCCTTGACAAGATGATGCCAGGCTACAAGGTGCCTAGGCAGCGGTAGCGGAGTAGCTTCTGCTGATTACGTGCTCGGTCATTGAGCTTGTCCAGTTTGATTGAGTTTCTACGCCTGCAAGCATGGCTTCGGCTTCCGTACATACTCAGAAGCATGTTGGAATACATGTCCTCTAGAGTCCCTATACATGTCAGCAAGAAACGTGGATAGTCCTGCTTGCGTTCAAAGCCCTGGCATGGGCGTCTGAATAGATAGCAATAGCATGCCCGGGAATTCCACATGTTAGCATATTTGATTATTATGTAATCGGTCTCTCTGTTTGTTTGTCTGTCTATCTGTCGATCTAACTATCTCTTTAAATACATTATAACTCGAAATCCCATTCTAGTTTTCAATCCCTTTGTATGACTAATCCCGAAAAACCTCATTCAACACTTCTAAACCCCTGTACAAACCCTGTTCTGATGCTTAAGGCCCCCAAATCAAGCCTGTATTGAGCTCCTTCGTGGTCTAAGGACAAGATTTGGGCGAGGCTCCCGCAGGGTGTCAAAGAGTACCAGGCACCACGGGCCCAGTGTTTACGGGTCAGGACCTCGTGTTTTGGATTCGTTTCTGTTTTCAGGTTTCGGGATCGAGTTGCCGGCTTCCTATGTCATGACGAAGCTCTCGATGCTGAGTTTGATTGATTTTCTCCTTCCAGGTACATCTGTTGCTACATTTTGCTACTACCATCATCGTCACGGTGCTTCTCTTGTGACACGTGCTGCCGCTGTCGGCATGGCTCTTCATCGCCCTCTACCTATAGTCTCCATTGTACTTTCTTTTTGAGGTCACCTGGTAGGACCCTAAACATAGGCTTGCTTAAGCCAAAAAAGGAGCTACAATGGAAACTATGGGTAAGGTGTGTGCGGAGTCTTGGGAAGCTGCCGCATCAGGGTGCAAGATTGGATTGAATGCCAGGGTTTGTTTACGGAGGATTCCGGTGCTAAGACCTTTAACTCCAATAGAAGGATCTGAACGGTCAGCTAGTAACAATACTCGCCTATAGTCGTGATACAAGATTACCAATGCTAATAAATGACCAGGGATAACTATTTCTATGATGACGACGGCGATGATCCTGATGATGGTGATGTTAGTGATGATGATAAGAATGATGATGATGATGATGATGATGATGAAAGTGATGATGATGATGATAGTGATGATGATGATGATGATGATGCTGTTGATGATGATGGTGATGATAATGATGAAGATGAAGATGATGATGATGATGATGATGATGATGATGATGATGACGATGACGACGACAACGAGGATGATGATGATGATGATGATGATGGTGATGATGATGATGATGATGATGATGATGGCGATGATGATGGTGAATCATGGTCATTTATTAGTTGTGATATTATCGTTGTCATCATTGTTAAACACATAAACACATGTCATATCCAATGCAGCACTTGCCTTCATTAAAGCGAAATTTGCAGTTTCGGGTCTTGGAGTGAGAAAGATAGGGAAGGGCTTCGCGTTCATCTCGAACCTGGTGATGGTTCATGTACAGTGGGGCCTGCTGCCCTTGTTATTTTGGTGGAGGAACCCTAAACCCAAAGCCCTTGTTATAAAGGGGGCTATTGGGGAACTTCTTCGTGTAAGCCTCACGAATTGCTGGTACAGTTTCCTATGCCGATGGAATGGGGTTTCGGTTCAAAGTACGCAGGCCCTCAACTTCAAACCTTTCATTGGTGATTAGAGGTTTAGGGTTGAGGGGTAAGCCCCAGACCCTAGACCCGAATCCCATGCAGGGCATGGGTAGAGCAACCTCAGTTAGCAGCTGTCAGAGCTTGTCCACGAAGCCCTTTTCCTCAAGGTTCTTGTTCCCCAAGAATAACACTGAGGATGCAGTCATGCACTCCTGGCACCATCTGTGTCCTAAACCCCAAAGCCTAAGCCCTAAGCCCTGGCAAAAGTCGAGGGTCAATGATGCCAGAGTGCCAGCTCTCTTCCGGCATTACTGCTCCCGATGACCGGGACATGGCTACGGCTCTCGAGGAATAAAATGCCGACACACCGAAACTGGCCATACGGCAGTTTCGCCGCGCGGGTTCTGAGGATCCATCTCCTGAAGACTCAGACTTCAAGTGGAGGCCAGGCATACCGCAAATGTGGAGCAGCTGGACTTTGCCTCTGGACCCAACGACTTAGGGGTACTTAGAAATGTTTTTTAATCTTTGGTTACTATAAACCCTAAGAAGCAGCTAAATTATAATTTTTGCTAGGGGTCTAAGTTCAGTACAGACTATATTCTGAAGGAGTTGTTGCGCCGTGACACAGCAGCGTTGCGACCCCTACCTCCGCTAGCACTCAGTCTCTTCTGATCATTTCGAAACCCCTACCCTGTACCCGGAAAGCTTTATCTCTTGGTTTAGGGCCTAGGCGGTTTAGGGTTTAAGGTTTAGACTTTAGAGTTTACTTTCACTCTGAATCAGCCCGTAGTGATTTGGTTTGCTGGGCGCCTATGCAACGAACGACCTTTTACGGTCATTGCCCATGTTTGTTCAGCTGATTCTGTGGGGTCCAGGTGGAGTAAGGCTATATTCTTTCTGGAATGAGATCCCTAAACTTTGGACCCTGCAAACTCCAAACCCTTGAAGCAATAATCCCTAAACCCTTAAAGCACGAACCCCTGAACCCGAACCCGTAGAGCCTGCTCAACCGTAGACAGTTGAAGTAAGTTAAGGTCCAAAACCCCACTTAAACCCTATCAATGTTAACCCTAACCCTAAATCCAAAACCCGAACCCTAGACCCTAAGCCCTAAACCCTAAACCTTGAACCCTAAACCCTCAACCCTAAACCCTGAACCCTTTAAACCCTAAAACCTAAGCCCTAAACCGAAGGCACGATCCAGGGCATCTCTGGAACGCGACGCTTCAAAATGATATGCGGGTAATTCTCGAAATTAGGGCCCCTGTTGAGGTCCTTTTTCTACGGATGCCACCTTCTTTTGGTTTGGGTTCCGTAAAACGCCATCCGAGTGTAGAGAACTCCCCATGTACCGTACCAAAAACCCGCTATTTCGACGCTCCCTGTCGACACAAATGCTACTACCAACCTGAGTCACAGGCCCTAGACGAACTCTTGAAGACTCGCAGGTGAAGAGTGAAAACAATGCCTTCGAGACCGGCATCAAGCAACACAAGAGCTGGCAAGGCCACAGATTTACCTAAGCCTTCTAACCCTGAACCCTAAACCCTAATGCCTAAACCCTAAAGCCTAAACCCTGAACCCTGAACCCTAAAGCCTAAACCCTAAAGCCTAAACCCTGAACCCTGAACTCTCAACCCTGAACCTAAAACCCTAAACCCTAAACCCTGAATCCTAAACCTTACTTCATTTCGGTTTCTGCCCGAAAGCAAGTATCCGACGACCTGCAAGCTGCAGTCCCGAAATCTTCCAACTACAAGCCCTAGTATAGGGGCATAAATAATTACCTATACTATTTTGTGGGGTTTAGGGTTTAGGGTTATAGTTATAGTGGAATATACCCCCCCCCCCCAAAGCCTATTCTAATTATTAAGGCCCCTATATTATGCTCTATGCATCTTTCAGCCTACTGAGCTGCAAGCTACAGACTCTGAACTGAACTCGAACGCCTGGAGCCCAAAAGCCTAACATGGGGGCCTAAATAATTTTTACCTATACTATTTTGGGGGTTCCCTATTATAATTATAGTACAATGGGCCCCGAAACCCCATTCTAATTATCAAGGCCCCTATACAATTAGGTACGGCCCTGCAGCGAAGGGCGGTAGGCTTCACGTAGGCCCAGGGCGGATCAGAGTTGCATTTGGAGCTGAACGATGTGGCGTTGAAATTTTGGTGTCAACCTTAACCTTGCAAATGTGAGACCCCACTATAGTAGGAGCCCAAAAGTTGGAAACCCAATAGCCTCAATCCCTAAGAGTAATTAATGTATAGGGAATCCCAGCACTATTTGTCCTTAATCCGGTTTCCAACTTTTTGGGGTTTACTATACGCTGACGAAGTCCCTCCAACCCAATGTCATGACAATCCCACTGGAGGTTACGATTGAATCAGTTTGCGTTTGCAAATGCTCAGTATACCCGGTTAGAACATCCTTATACGGAGGTAGGATTTTTGACTTACCTTCATCTGCACCCCTAGCCCTAAAGCCCTAAAGTGGCAAATCCCTAACCCCAAACCTGTAAAATTCGTCGAATCGTCGAACCCTCGAAAGCCACATTCCGCCCAAACCCCCGAAAAACCCAAACCTCACATCTCGATCCCTAAAATCTCTTCCCTGACATATCCGAATAGTTACACAAACCTTAATTAGACCTTAAACCGTCAAAACCCAAACATCCCCAAACCCTTAAACCCTAAACCCTGAAGCCTAAATCTTAAAAACTCCCTAAACCCTATACTATAGGGGCCTTCATGATTACCTATACTATTTTGGGGGTTCCATATCATCAATGTAGTAGAATATACCCCACAACCCTATTCTAATTATTAAGGCCAATACACCAAACGCTGCTCCTTGAACCCCAAACCCCATAGACCCTCAACCCCAAACCCTTAAACCCTGTTTTTGGTTAGTGAAGTGTTTGGCCCAAGAGGCTACTGTGGCTCGACCTCTGCGGAGAGAAAGTCCCAAAGCACTTTCAAAAAGACACCCCAAACCCTAAAGCCCTATAAAGCCCTAAACCCCAAACGCTGTTCCCTAAGCGCCCCAAACTCTAAACCCTAAACCCTAAAAGCTTAAAACCCTAAACCCCAAAGGCTGTTCCTGAAGCGCCCTAAACCCCGTACCAGGCTACCTCCTGGCCTGGAAGGAGCGAATCTGCACCAAAGCGAGAGACTCCAATATCCTTTAATTAGTGAATTAATTAATTAATTAATCAATGAACTAATGAATGAACTAATGAATTAATTAATTAGTTAATTAATTAATTCATTAATTAACTAATTAATTAAATAATTAATTAATTAAGGAAGGAATACTACCTTAAATTATAGTAGGATCCCCAACATGATTCAACGTATATACCTTAATTAAGGGATATTGGAGTCTCCGGGCAAAGCGAGAGAGTTCTTCCGTCACACTGGGGTCATGGTTTAGTTTCAGGGTTTTAGGGCGTTCGGGGTTTAGGGTCTAGGGGTGGAGTTGTCATGTTTGAATCAAGCCCAAGAAATAGCTGCTGATTTGAAGCTGCTAATTTGACCCGTTTTGATTTGTTTTGCGGTAGAGGGGGGTGGAAGGGTTCCTCTTTTCGGGTGATTCGGGCTTAAGCTTTCGTCCTTAAGCTGTTGATATGTTCGGATTTTGGAGTATATGGTTGCGAAATTGTTTGTGGCTTGGGATGTGCTGCCTTTGTGGACAGCCGGTCTCACCAGACGCGGCTCTTTTTGTTTAGGCTTGGGTTTAGGGCTCAGGGATTTGTTTTTTTTGCCGGGCAGTCGGCTTTGTACTGGATTTCCACCTGGTTTGGGATCCTGTCTGTCCTGGTCTGGGTTTGTAGCACACTGTCAAAGGATCTGTTCCGAGTAGCTGTTTTCGCAAGAGTCTGCAGCCGAAATAGGTCCACGAAAGCCTAGATATCATCCCCAAGCACTGCAACGTACCTACTATAGGGCCGAAATAATTACCAATACTATTTTCGGGGTTCCTTACTATAATTATAGTATCATGGGCCCCCCACACCCTCTTCTAATTATTAAGGCCCCTATATTGCTCGAATCCGAAGCTCTACCATATAGTGAACGCCAGAAAGTCGGAGCACGGCTTTAGGATGAATAGTGTGGGGATTCGCATTCCCTATATGTTACCTTAAAGGCATGAAGATACAGGTGTTCCAACTTTCTGGCTTCTTTGAATCCTAGAAGACCATATGCTTCAACACCTATACTGCAACACGAAACTCTAAACCCTAAATCCTAAACCCCTACACTGCAGCCTAAAGCCTCTGACAGGACATGGAGTCGAGCTTCGTGCCCTCGCAGAAGTACCGTAAGCAGGCCGTTGACTGGCGGAGGCGGACAAAAGGGCTTCGGGTTTAGGGTTTAAGGTTCCTTTCGGTGAAGACCTTGGGGTTTTGATAACCTCTCGAACGTATCTCTGGTGTTTTCCTTTTGACTACGGTACCCGAAGCCTCTGAATATTGTGGTGGTCATCATCGCGGTCTTGCTTATGAAAATGATTGCCTTCATCAGCATCATCATCATCATCATGATCATCATCATCATCATCATCGTCATCATCATCAGCAGCAGCAGCAGCATCGCGGCTGTGATGATGGTCGTGATCATGACCATGGCCATTGTGGTGAGAACGACGGGTGCTGATAACAATCATGGCGGTGGTTGCAGCTATGGCTCAGAGAGCGAAGTTGAATACCCTGGTTAAGCCGGTTCTGCTGATCATGTTGTTGCCGGGTTTTGATGCTGCGGGATTTCGGGAAAGTAACATGTCACCGTTATACATTTCAATATGGTTGCTTGTGATGCCGGCCGATTGTAGGGAAAACGCCCTTACGCCCTCAACCCTAAACCCGAAACCTAAACTCCAGGGCCCTGTGGCCTAATTCCTAAGCCGTGAGTGCAGGAACCTGATTCAGAATCCCTGGCCCTGCAATCCCAAAAAGTATTGGGATGAATCTGAAGACCCCTAAAGAAACCCAGATTCTCTGAATCAGCTTCCTCTGTAGCCCTTAAGCCCTAAACCCTTGCCACTAAACCCCTAAACCCCTAAAGCGTAAACCCTGAACCCCTAAAGCCCTAAACCATAACCGCTAAACCCCTAAACCCCTAAAACCAAAGCCTCTGAACCCTAAAGCCCTAAACCCCTGAACCCTAAACCCCTAAACCCCTGAACTCTAAAGGCCTAAACCCTTATACCCAAAACCCCTAAACCCGTAAGCCCTAAACCCTGAACCCGTAAACCCGTTAAGCCCTAAGCCAAGGCACAAAGCCCTAGCTCTAGCCTCGAGGACTCCTCCGCACTTGGCCGGGGGGACTTAAGGATTTGCAGTTTTCGATAAGGGTCTCTGTAAGCGCAAATAAGGGTCATGTAGGTTTTTCCAAAAAAGAGTTTCTAAACCCCAATAAACCCTAAACCCTAAGAAACCCTAAACCTAAGATACCCTAAACCCTAAGAAACCCTAAACCGAATAAACCCTAAACTAAACCCCAAATTCCTAAACCTATTTAGTTTGGGGGGTCCTTATGATAAGGGTCCTACTATGGAGGTTACTACATTAGGGTCCCCTATTTCGGAAACCCCCATAAGGGTCATGCAGCTTTTCCCAAAAAGGGTCTCTACTACCTAAACCCTAAACCCTAAACCCTAAACCCTAAACCCTAAACCCTAAACCCTAAGGGCTAAGGGTTGGGGCTTTGGGGTTTCAAGCTGCCGGGCTCCAGAGCTGTAGGGCTTTAGGTCTCGAAGGTTTCAGGGTTTTGATGTTTGTTGGGGGTTTAGGCTTTAGGGCCTAGTTTAGGGTTTTAGG